CAAAATCTTCATTTTATACTGAATATTTAAATTTAAAACAACTTGTTCGAGTTAAAATATTTTCATATTAGTTAACCTATATGCTTAATATTCTGTTATATTTAAAGAAAAAAGAAAAAAATTAATTTTAAATTTTTTTATTAAATATTATTTCATTCTGTGCAATATCCTACAATACACAGAATAATATTTAATAAAAAATTTAAAATAAATTCAAGTTGTCTAATTAAAAGAATAAATTAAGCTTATTAAATTTTTAAAAGTTAAATAGATTATTTAGATATACAATAATCTAATTAAGGTATATAACTTCAATTAATATTTATTCAATATTGTTTTAATATAGGTTCAGCTGTAAAATAACAAAAATTAAAATATATATTATCAATCATATATTGTTAATATATTACGTATAATGTTAGTGTATTTTATGCTGAAATATATTTACTAATCATTCTTTGTTAATCTTATTTACAATGGGTCAGTTGTGGCCTACAAGGTATTGGCTAGCATGCTTGAGAACCACGTGGACAAGCATCTTATTCTCCTTCTCACTAATCATTAGTTGGGGCCTACAAGGTACTGGTTAGCATGCTTGAAAGCCACATGGACAAACATCTTATTCTCCTTCTCAAGCGCTTCTATGCAATATGCAATCCATGAGCTTTGGCATGACAAGAGAACTATCACCGTCACTGACATTACTCATATTGTGTGAATATGAATGCAAGTAAATGATTGTGTGATTTCTTTGAACTTGTTTTGCATTTAAAGAGTAATCAAAGATTAATCCATGCAAAACAAGGTGATATATATATATATAATTTGGTGCAAGATACATAAAATAAAATTTCAAACCAAATAAATTTTACTTCTTTCTTTAGGAAGAGAGAATGTGAGATATAGAAAAATATTAAAATAATTATTTAATTTAATTTAACCTACATTTTATATATAAAAAAATACAAAGTCATCGTAGATAGCATATTTTTTTGGTTCATAATGTTAAAAGTCAAGTAAAGAGAACTCAGATTGAGTAATACATAAGGGTAGTAATAAGTCTATATTTTGTTCTATTTTTATAGCCTATATATTTATGTTTGGCCTGTATTTTATTTAATTTTGTACTAATTCATTTATATATATCATGCAATTTAGCATAAGAAGCCCATAGTTGAATTTTTGAGTTTTTTTTAACCCAAATTGGCTAGAAATCAAAGTTTCACAGCAGTCAACATGTTTAAATCTTAGAAACAAGTATGAGAGTACTTTGAACACATGCACAATCATGTTAATGGCCTTACATGACTTTGCTTATCTATGATAAGCCCAATTATGAAGAGCTTTTAGGGTTTTCAAACCTTATTAAAAAGAGACCTTGGGGGCAGCAATTGATCATCTTGTTCTACATCTAGTTTTTGATCGATGATGCACCTTTCATCTCTTTATCTTGTTCTCGATCCTTTGATATACTCTTGGCGAAACTTAAAGTTTCGAGTGATCGTACTTGAAGACCAGAAACTCATCTCATCTGCAACCTTTAGAGACATTCTAGTTTTTTGTTTTCTTTCGAATATGACTTTGTTTATTACTATTTTAGTTCTTTTCTTTAATGAGTAACTAAGCCCATAGCTAGGGTTATGAGAATTCTTATTCATGAATTTATGAAATTTTAATGTTTGAATCTAAATTTGATTTATGTCTGTAATTAGTGTTTATTTTATTGCATATAATTATATGTTATAACATAATTTCAATTAATTATATCATCAGACGATCTTACTTCAATTAGTTAGTGAATCTATAGGTTAAAACGAGACAAAGGATTAGGTAGATCAAACTAATCTTTCTCTTCTAATTGTTATTAAATTAACAAGTTCATTGTGCTTTATGCTTTCTTGAATTAATATCTTGCATGACCATTGTAGATGCTTGTTTAAAGAAAAAAATGTTAATATTCCATGATCATTGGGTATTGATAGTATTTGTATGAATGATTGATAATCACAGGAAAATAAAATTTAGAGTTAAATAGAAAAATAGGATTGAATGAAAAAAGTCATATGTTACTTGTTTTAGAATTTCGATAATAATTATTTTGAATTCTAATCATGTTTATTCAGTTTTGCATCTTTTAACTCAAGCAATTAAATTATAAAATTTTTAGTAATTAGAAGCAATTTCTGTGGAACAATAATTTTGAGAACTTAATTTGAGAATCTTATATTATTTTTTTATAGGTACACTTGTCCAACGAATAGGTAATATCTCACTACCTATTTCTTTTAAGTTTTATATGATGTGATGTGTTAGCCTACTTGTATAGTTAGCTCATGACTTAATATGATGATAACACTCTTTCCTTTTGTGTGTATATCGTCCCTATAACTCTGATTGCATAGTGATATTAGAAGTGAATAAAGAAAAATAAAATATAAGTAAAAAAGAAAAAGAATTAAAAAAATTAAAAGAAATTTTTTTATTTACTCTTTAGAATAAGTATTAGAGACTTGGAAAAGAATGTTGAAAATCAAGTAAAAGAGGTATCATATTATCTAATATTAATAGAGTTGAGTAATATACAAAGAGTAGTGTCTCATCACATAAAAAATAAAAAAGAATTTCTCAACATTTATCATCAGGCTATTAAAATTCTAACTAAGAAAATAATAATTTATCCTTCAACCTTTGCTTAGCTAATTGACTGATGGTCATGATTGATTAAAATGTCAAGTTGCAAATGGATGTCACATGCTAGTTCGAGTAATAATTTGGATTGATTAATGTTGGGTCACGAGGGGTCTACACACATTCATTGAGAAAGTCAATACAAGTGGATTGGGTCACTACATCCATCTAAAATCTTAAGACAATCTAACTCATATCCACTGAATAACCCCAAGGATATGCTTAGGAGGAAGTTTTGGGAGAGAAAGAGAGGAGATAATATTTTTTATTTTAAATTAAAAAATTATATATCATTTATAATAATAAATACATTATTATTATATTAAGTTTATGTTAAAGTATTAATTTATATATTTAATTTTAAAAATATTAATTTTAAATATATTTATTTAAAATTTAAATTTTGTCTTCTCTTTTTCTTCCCTTTCAAACTCTTCTTTCTAAACAATTCTTAATTTGTTTGAGAGGAAGAAGAGGAGAAAGAAGGAAGTTAATACAAAATTTTTAAATTGGAAGAACTTAAAAATACAAGATTATGAGGATTTTATAAAGTTTATAAACCTTTTCTCAGTCATCTAAAAATTCTTAAACATAATTAAGTATTATATAAGTCTTTCTTTTCTTCTAAAAATGAGCTTCCAAACAAAGCATACGACACAAATGGTGTGGTGGAACACCATCGCATATATACTAGTAACTTTCTATAATATTAGAAAACGTATAACTTCTTATACTTTACTCAACCATTTTCCACAAGTATAATTATTCTTTTATTTATCCTATTTTTCAATTTTTTCTTATTTTATCCATCCACCCCACCTTCTTAGGATTCTTTTATTTAGATCTACCACCAATGTATAAAGATTATTTCATTGAGCAAGTCACTATAAGTAAGTTCAGTTGCCACATCTACCTGAAATCTTAAGATAATAGGTGATGGTACATCACCCTTTGTATAATAGGTGATGAGATATAACCCTTTGTATACTAGTCATCTTATTTAATATTAAACCAGGTAAGACATCTTTTACTTAACCTATACTTCATTCAACGTTTAGTTTGATGTAGTTGACATAAATATTTGCGTGATGTGATCTTGAAATTATTTTATCGATTTAGTCGATCTAAATAGAACTTTATTACAAATTCAACCGTAAAATTTACTAGAATAATATAAATTTGCTTATTTCTTACAAGTTATGGTAAAAAAATTATTGAAATAAATTAAAAAAAGTTTATAGAAATAGTAAGCTATTTTCACGAGGTATTTATAAGTTTTTGGAACAGGTCTTTAATAAATTTCAGTAGAGATCGGCAGTTTTTATCAGCTATTATCTAATCAGTGTAACTAAATCCAATTTTCTAGAACTGTTTATGTATGTTAGAATGCAGGCTGCTTTTCGTGGTTTCCAGGTGCGGAAACAATATTCTAAAATTCTTTGGTCTATTGGAGTCATTGATAATGCAATCCATGCACTGGCGTTTCAAGAGAAGAGGCTTTCGTGGTGTATATGTTAATTTTAATCAGAAATGGCAGACCAGAGACAGGAAAATGCAGTAGAGGATGAAAAGCCAGCCAAAAATCTTGATACAAAATTTGTAGTACATGTTCAGGCCATGGTGCGCTCAAAGAAAGCACGTGCAGGGTATAGGCGGATGAAAATTGATACACAATTCGTTGTTTCTTTGGTTTGATTGTACATGTATATATCCAGAAGCATATAAATGATCTTCTCAGTTATGGTTCAGACATGCAATTGTTTTCTAATGAATGGCACGTGCAACTCCTATTGCAATATTGTGCTTATTCAGACTCAAATGCTCCTGGGAAGGTCTTATTTAGAGGAAATGTTGCTAGCAATATCAGCAATATCTTTTTCTTGTTCATGTGTTATGGTTTTATTAATTGGATCCATTAATAAAAATTCACATATTTTGGAAAAGAAAATATTAATCATTCAATATCACTAATGCCCAAGAGACAAAAATCCAGGAGTGATAACTCCCGCAGCATACGAATCAGCAATTTCCAATGTCACCTCATAGCAAATCTCATGCCCAACGTAGTTCATGCTAATACCTCACCTGATATTTAACAGGAGTTGCAGCTATATATATATAGCTTCCCTTTTTCTCTGAGCTTGCGCTTTTCGGTGATGTCTAAAATCAAGAAACTTTTCATAAAGGTATTGCATCAACTGTATTGTCTTATTTCAATCCATTTAAATTCTCCCTCCATGCCTGAATATGTTAGTGGAACTGTGACCAACAAGTAAGGAATCTGATATCATACATTACATACATATCAAGTATTTCAATTAACCCAAAAGTTATATAGAACTTCTGCTTTACATATGTGGATAAACGGGAACTTTGAAGTCATATATGCTAATCTTAAGTCTTATTCCTAAAACATACTAATATAGTTTCTATTTGAAAAATGAACTCGTGGTATCTAGACTGATAACATAATGTTAAAATATTTGCTAATTTACTGAAACATGTTTCATTCTTGAAATGTAGTCTACTTTGTGAATGTCATTCTCAAGGACTCAGAAGTCGTCCTCAGTGCAAAATCAATATCCTCTTTCCAAATCTTGTGCAGTAGATTCACGGGCTCGCTTATAAGAAACAAATGGTTAAGTCGATCTTGAATGTGAAGCATCCCATACTCAATATACTCATCAGCATGCTTACCAAGAACATCGCAGATCCTCTCAATGAACTTTCCATATGCTGGCAATAAGGTGCTTTCCAGTAATATTATTATTTGTTCCCTTAACTGTTCATCAAAAACTGACCAAGTAGACTGAATGTTACAAATCTCCTCAAAATGCAAGTTGAATAAACTAAGCTTTATTTTCATTAACTCTGCTACAACACTAGGCACCACTAACTCGTTATCTAATTTCAAAATGTTCAGCACCTTATTCCACGAGCTTAATTGATAAAGTTCAAGGCTTTTTTGGATTTTTTCCTTAGTTTTTGGGAACCAATCATCACCCAAAATGTTTTTCAATTCACGCTGTCTTGCAATCTGTTCTATGCACCTCAGATTATTCATCATGTAAACATAGCCCATAGCAGGGTCCGTGTAAGTTTTGGACTTGGCTTCCAAATTACTCTCTAACATACATATAAACGAAGCCATATGGAGTGAAACTAAAGGCGACTTCATCTGTTTCTCAACAGTTAATTTTCTAGATAACTCATAGAGACGGTCCATAACTTCGATGGTAATTCGCTGAACTCTGCCATCAAGAACTCCCTCTTGTGCCATATCACGAGAAATAAGATTGTTAAACTCCATCTTCAAGGGCAATATCCCCCAAAACATGCGTACATGTCTAAGCGAAACACTATATGGATCAGAAAACAAGGATTCAAACTCTGGAATGAGGTCACGTAGTGTCTTGAACACTTTGGGTATAATGGAAGACAAAAGACTCAGCGAATGCCTTTCAGTTGCAAAAGTATCGATAAAACTCAATAGACGAATAGTTAATTTAGTGCAAACCTCAATGAGAGATGTATCTGTAGCAGAAGAGAAGCCAAAGAAGACACGATCGCAGAGTTTCTTTTCATTAGGAAATAGTATCTTCACAGCTACATTCAATGCTTTTATCCATTTCTCGATCTTTTCCATTTTGTCAACGCCGTTCATGTTCATCTCATGCAACCTAAATCTTGATAACCACTCTTTCAAAAATTTCCTCCGGCATCTGCTGTACACGCGGCAGCACTTTTTCTCTAACCCCGCTTCCACCATGAGCTTCACCGTTTCGTGAAGGTTGTTGACAATTCTCGACGGTAACGCGTCAATCACCACGTTGTTGTCTACATATAGCTGCATCACAGAAATGTGATCTTCATCTTCGAAGTCAAGTTTGGCTTTGAGGTATTCCTCCACATGCTTGGAAATCATGCGGAAGAGGTTCCTATTCTCCTTCTTTAGTGCTTCTATACATCTCATGAGCTGTGACATGATAAGAACGCTGTCACTGTTTCCTTGTTTTGAATGTGAATCCACTGGAGTTACTATGTGGTCTTGGAATCCTAGATCTCCATTTTCTTTTGGGACTTGCGGCATCATAAAATGAGCATTTGTAGTGCTTCTATTGGCATGAGATGAATCCACTTGAACAGCACTATCGGTGTTTGTTTGTGGTGGATGTAAATCAACTTCTATGACTACTTGATCTTGGACAAGCAAACTAAAATGACCACTTTCTATTGGGGCATCCAAATAGGAACGAATGATTATGAGGGAATAAGTAAAACCTGCTCCAGCAAGCACCAAGAATAATTTTATCATCATGAGTTGTATTATTAGACATCCACTGAAAAAATATAGGAGATCCACCTCAAATCCGTAGTGAATTTGCCTTGATAAGCAAAGTGACATGATAGCAAAAGCGGCACATGAAATTAAGCTATATGCATCTGGCTTCCCATTCAAAAGTTTATCAAAGAAGAAAGAGTACACAGAGGTGATGATCAAAACTAGAAATGCCAAATGAGCTTTAAGTTGAAGACTAGGGGAGCGTTGCCATACCTTTGCAAACAAGATAGCAAGGCAAATGATGAAACTGAAAACAATATAAAGTAATAACTTCCACAGTTTCCGTTTTCCTAATAGATGATTGAAAGAAGAACTGAGAGCATAACAGAACAGTCCAACAATTGATGAAGTAAAGCAAAAAAAATTCCATGCTTTTGGCTTCATCGGCCATCTGAGGAATTGGTTAGGCATTCTCCAGTGAGATGAGTAAGGTTTGCTTTCCCATGATTACCACCATTTTTAACTCAAGGGACACCCTACTTCCTTTTCTGCTACAGATTTCAAGGAAATCTCTTGTACACTGTACAGGTATGAACATATAGATTAATTAAAATATACATAATGGTTTATTTGAACGAGAAATAAAATAAAAAGGAATAATAAAATAACATGAAATAAAAAATTTATTTTATTCGTTTGGACAAATAAAAATAAGAATAGAAACAAATAAATAAATGATATTAAAAATATTTATAATATTTTAAAAGGTTTAAATTTAAAAAAATAAAAAAATCTTAGTATATCTTTTTGTGTTAATATAAAATTATTAAATATTTTTATATTTTTTGCTATAAAATATTAATTCCATACAAAATTGGAAAAAAGATTGCATTGACATATGACTACATTTCATGCTTAAGAAGAGAAAAAAACAATGCTTGTATGAGACTCTCGAAAATTATACCTATTTTATATGTAAATTTCAATTAAACTAAACTACTGAAATGTTAAAACTTACTCCATTTCAATTCGTATAATTTTAATCTTCTTATTTTTTCTAAATCAAATGTTGTATTAATATTTTATGATAATCTTAATCAAATTTTAGTCAAATAAAATTTTTATAAGAAACCTTAAAATAAAAATAATTTTTTTATAAAATATAAAAATTATCACTATTAATTAAATAATAACAAATACCCTTGAAATACAAATACAAATAAATTATGCATGTATACACATCTGATACAAATATCACACGCTTACGTCAACTTCCCTCACGTGTCCATGTTGGTCTAGGGATATTTTTCTTATAAATACAAATTCTCCCCTGACAAGTGACAAATACCAATCTTAGAGACTTTTATAACCATTAATTTGGGTAGGTAATTTGTTGACTTGGTTGTCAGTTTGAACAGAGACTTTTGTTAGTGACATAATGTAAATTAACATGAATAGTGAATGATTTTTATCAAATACATGATATGATAAATAAATCCCAAAGTCTTTTTCAGTTATTTGTTGAAGGGAAACAGTACACTTTTTAATATAATTTTAATTAGTAGTTAAAATTTATTATAATTTTTAATAAATTTTAGTGAATAATTAAAAATATTTTAAAAATTATATTGTTAACCTTTTTCAGTGATTTTAAATTTAAAAAAAGGAAGTTGCCACTGTATTACTATTGATTTTTCGCCTTAATTCTACATGTTGCAATAAAAGCAATGCTAAAAGGATAAAATTTTAAGATTGAATTAGAGGTTCAAAAAGTTCACCTTCGTCACTTGGACATTGTATGAGCAAAATGGATGCCGTTTACTACCCATTTGCACTTTGATCCTGATAGGTCTTGAGAATTAGATTTCAAAATAGAAACGAGGTGAGGAAACAAGGTCAGCTCGCCAGTGTAAATTGATGAGTTAAAGATGTTTAACATCGTCAGAACCGATTAGAAGGTGAACTTATGGAATATGTATAATCAGAACCAATCATGAGAAGCTGGTCCATCGTCACACAAGGACCAAGCAAAGCAGTATGTGTAAACGACCTGCATTCTTGAATGGAGTAAACATGTTACTTGGGCAAAACGACCTGCTATATTTTTTTTTCTTCTCTTTTATGATTTTTTATATTTTTCAATTGTGCAATAAGTTTGAATGTTAAAAAGAATTATGATTTGAGAAATGCTCCATCGGTATGCAAGATGGCAAAGACAACACATGAATTGCCGGTGATCGCACAAGTACCATAACTACTAAATAAAAAGGAAATACATATTTGCAATCTCAGCATAACACATAAAATGATATACAGTACAAGGTCACCAGTAGTATAGGAGTACAATTGCGATTATAAAATAATTGTATTCTGATTCTACATAAACATGGGTAGGCTTTAGTTTAGTTCTCTTTCAGCAACGGATTCAGTGTCTCATTTACAAGAAACAAATGGTTGAGTTGATCTTGAATGTCCAACAGTCCATACTGAATATAGTCATAAGCATGCTTACCAAGAAAATCTTGAAATCTCCCAATGAAGTTTCCATATGCTGGCAACAAGATGTTCTCCAGAGATAGTATTGTCTGTTCCCTTAGCTGATTATCAAAGACCCACCATGTAGACTGCACATTACATATCTCTTCAAAATGCAAGTTGAACAATTTGAGCTTCTCTTTCATTGACTCTTCTATCTCATTAAGTGCCCCCGATTCATTGTCGTCCAATTTCAAAATGTCTAGCACCCTATTCCATGAGCTTCTTTGATAGAGATCGACATTTTTTTGGATTTTTGCCATGTTTTTTGGTAACCAATCTTTGTCCAAAACGGTTCTCATTTTCCCCTCTTTTGCTTTGACTCCTATGTACCTAAGATTGTTCATCATGAAAACGCAGCCCAAAGCAGGATCCCTGTACTCTTTGGACTTGGCTTCCAAATTACTCTCTAAGAGCTCTATTATCCAAGCCAACTGAAAACAAACCAAAGAAGACTTTTCCTCTTTATCAAAATCGGTGGATTGTTCTTGAAAACTCTGCTTATAGGCAATATCCTTAGATTCACAAACATCCCTAAGGCAATTCATGACTTCATAGGTAACCGGATGAAGACCACCTTCAAGAACAACGGTTTGCAGCATTTCACGGCAAATAAAATTCTCCAATTCCACAAAAATAGCCCTGTTTGCTACACTCAGTCTCTTCCAAACCATGAGTGCTTCATTTTTTAGTGACACACTGTATTGACCAGAAAACAAAGATTCAAAGTCTGGAATGAGGCAACTCAATGTGTTGAACAATTTGGGTACCATGCAGCATGTGGCAAAGGTATCTGCGAAACTGAGTAAACGAATAGTGAATTCCTTGGAAACCTGTGTGAAAGAGATATCTGCAGCGGAAGAGAGACGGAAGAAGACGCAGTGGCAGAGTCTCTTTTCAATGGGAATGAGTATCCTAAAAGCTACTTTTGACGCTTTGATCCAATTCTCAATGTTGAGCTCTTGCAATTGGAACCCAAGTGTTAACAGACTCTTCTAGAAACTCCCTTCGCCAAGTGCTGTACACGTGGCAGCACTCCTCCTGAAGCCCACTTGCCACCATTAGCTTCACTGTCTGACGAAGGTTTATGATGATTCCTTTCCTTGGTAGTCCTTCCATTACCAATTTCAGATTGGGACGCGGTGAAATCCCAATCTGGTTCTCGTCAACATTGGCTTTCAAGTACTCCTTGACACGCTTGGAAATCATGGGGATACCCTTTTGATTCTGCTTCTTAACCACCTTTAAACAAGCCACTAGCTGTGACCTCATAATATCACCCTCACTGTTGTTTAATTGGGAATGTGATGCAAACGGTTGTTGGAATCCTAGATCCCTATTGACTTCATGTGGCACGATAAGATTACTTTTCTGAGTACTACTAGTATTTGCTTGGGCTGAATCCACTCGATGAATGGCTCCACCGCTATCATCTACATGAATGACTACTTCATCTTGGATACGGAGTTGATGATGCCCAATTTCAGGAGTAGTATCCAAAAAAGAACGAAGAATTATGAGGGAATAACTGAAACTGGCGCCAACAATGATAAACCATAATTTAATCTTCGTGAGTTGCAAGATTAGCCCTCCGCTGAAAAAATATAGAAGATCAATCTCGAATCCGCAGTGAGTCTGTCTTGACAAAGTGAGTGACATGATAGCGAATGCTGCGCATGAAATGAGGCTACATGCATCTGGTTTTCCTTGTAGGACTTTGTCGAAGAAAAAAGAGTACACAGAAGTGATGATCAAAACCAAAAACGCCATGTGAGCTTTCAGCCGGAGAGTAGCAGAGCGTTGCCATGACTTGGCGAACAAGATTGAGATGCAAATGATGAAACTGAAAACGGTGTAAAGAAATATCTTCCAGCAAGTCCATTTCCCGAATAAATGGTTGAAAGAGCTCAGTGCGTAACAGAGCAACCCAACAACCGATGAAGTAAAACACACAAATCTCCACACCTTTGGCTGCATCAACCATGTCAGAATTTGGATGAGCATGGACATCGTGTTCTTTATCAAGGGAGTATGATTTGTTTGCATTCAATGAGAAAGATGAGATTATGATAAACCTTTCCTTTTCTTTCAGAGGAAATTCGGAGGAAAGGGACAACATGTAGTAAGCTATTCTGTTACGTTTCTCTTTGACTGCTTTGAACGTTCGTCTTACACACTTTTTTTATTTTTGCATCAGTTTTTTTTTTTTTTTCGGTTACAAGGAAGAGAAAGAACTGACAGCAATAAAAAGCAACCCCAAACCTGTATGCAACAAAGCTAATGACTGATCGGGGAAAATTTTGGAACGAATTATAAGGCGCTGAGCTTGAGCTTGGGAAGCATTTTTCTAGTCAAGTGGTCAGCACGGAAGTTTTCTTGCCTAACCATATAAGCGCAGGACGAGAATTAATTAATTTCACCACCTGTAAGCAATCGGAGTAGCAAATAACTTTGCAGTATCTAGTGCTCCAGATTATACTTAACCATAGTATATAGCAAATAACTCAGTCATGACGTTGTAGTATAATGTTTAAGAGTCTCGAATCCACCGACCATCCGAATTACGAAATAAACTGTCAAGACTTCCGATTGAGGCAACCAAGTGATCCATCTTCAGCTAGGCATGATATCACGCTGGGCTGAAAGAAGCATATTCATATCACATCTTAAACGGTTAATTTTCACCGTTATGTATGGGAGGGACCATAAGCCATCCTTAATTGAGTGATTGTTTTTAGTCTGCCAAACCATTCACATGGTAGGTATAAACCAGCGAGCTTTAGCCGTAACACCATACTGGAACCAAGAAACAATATCGTCTCCTTACATAAAAAAAGAGTCATTATAGAAGTTCATGATCGCCCAAATCGGAACGGCCCATATGCAATCACGAAGACAATGAAGTTGGTCTTCCACATGCAAATGGCATCATGAGCAAAGAGGAGACTTCAAGGTTCCCATCGCATCTTCCTTAATTTGTGAGGATAGAGTTTGTTTTGGAACTAGATTTTACTAGAGAGTAGATTCGTAAACTTATGAAGTACACATAAATGAATAGGAACTCATGAACCCTCCCCCATCTCTTGACATACCTCATTCTTGTAGAAGGTTAGTCAATATCTTTAGATGTAGGTTACGCCTAAGGCAACTGTTACCTCCTTTTCAAAGCATAGAATACCTCTATTAGAGTAAAGCGCACTTGAAAGCCCTCCAAGCCAAATACCACCCATGAGTTCACGTTTAGTTGAGGTTCTCTCAACTTTGCTTAAGCGTCATTCTTTTGCTCAAGTGTACCAAGGAACGCTTGTCCATTTACACACTTTCGTGTCTTGCAGCGTTCATAAATTACAAAGTTTTATCTTTCATCTCTATGTTGCGTTCTAGGCCTGTGAACTTAGAGAGCACATTTGTGAAAGGTCTCTTTTAGAATGGATCCTTCGTTCTTCCTTCTTATTCCCTAGGGAAGGTTATCCCCCTTTCAAAGTACCAAACTTGGAAGAGGAAAAAAAGGCCACTCATTCTTGTCTTTCGATCTTTATATAGTTTGCTTTGCCTTGCTCTCGCTATCCAAGTAGAAAAGCGTCTTTGCTAACTATCAAATCTTCATTATTTCTTTAGAGATTTTTATAATTAAATTTAGATTTGATTTCTGTTGTGATTAGTATTTCTCTTACAACATTTGATTGTGTGTTGGGAACTGGCCACTCATACAATAATTCTAATTAATTACATCGTTAGGCGACCGTATCTTGATTAATTAATAGATTTATAAGATAAAATGAGATAAAAGATTAGATAGACCATGATCTTTCTCTTTTAATCATTATTAAATTAAGAATTCATAAGTTCTTCATACTTCCTTTAATTGATATCTTACATGACCATTGGAGGTGTTAATTTAGAGGAAAGACTGTTAATATTCACTACATCAGAAATGAGTTTTTGGAGCATTAACTTAGACAGCGGTTAGTAAAAACTACTTTGTAACTAATTTGAGAGTGGTTCTTTGTTAACCGCTCTCAGAACTATACTTCTGAGAACGGTTCTCTACTAATTGCTCTCTAAAGTCACACATTAGAGAGCGTTAATAAAGAATCACTCTGTCAGTTATTAAAATTGTTTATAAATGAAACACGCTTGAGCATTTTTTCTTCTTAGCTAACAAAGTTAGTCTCTTTTACTGTAAGTTCTGTTTGTCTTATCTACTCTCTTATATTCTCTTTATCTTCTTTTACTAACAAATTAGTTTTTTTTTCCCACATCTGAAGGTACTTCTTCATTCTCTGTTAGTCTGTTCTCTTCATCTTCTCTGTGTTAACAATTAGTTTTTTTAATATTTGTAGGTACCTCTTCATTCTTTGTTAGCATACTCTCTTCATATTCTCCTCGCTAACAAATTGATTTTTTTTCACATCTGTAGATACTTTTTCATTTTCTCTTTTTTTCTTATTTTCTTTGTTAACGGTGAATCATTCATTCTCTCTTCCTTTCTTTTTTCTCTCTATTAATGTTAAAAATCATCTTACTAATTTGTTCTTTTTTTTTCTGTTTGGTTCATTCAGATGTAGAATGTTTGGTTAATACCAAATGTATAAACTCAAGATTCAATTTTGATTTATGATAAAAATGAAAAAAAACTCAAAGAAATCAATTCTAAATTTTGATTTAAATATAATAATAAATTAATTTTACTTTTGCATCAGAAAACTCAAAAAGAAACCAATTTCAAATTTTAGATTCGCGGTCTACATTTATACTTTGAGAGCGGTTTCACATGGAACTGCTCTCTAATCTTACACCTATACTTTGGAGAGCAATTCCACTGGAACTAGAACTGCTCTTCAATCTTAACTTTTGAGAGTAGTTATTTAACTGCTCTCTTAAATATAACACATTAGATAGCGCAAGATTTTAGAATAGTTCTAAATGCTTTTTAATTTAAAACGGAACCGCTCTCAGATCTTCATTCTCGCGTAGTGATTGCATAACCACTGGGTATTAATAGCAACTGTATGAATGATTAGTAATCACACGGACATCGGATCTAGAGTTAATTAGAGAAAGAACATAAACGAATGAATGAGTAAACTCATATGCCTTAAGTTTTCCTTCTGTAATTTTTCCTAAGGTGTGTGTTGTGATTTCTGCTTTGAGATCTAGTGACAATTGTTTTAAACTCTTTAATTTTAAATATGTAACTTTGCATCCTTTATGTTCAAACAATTAAACAAAAAATTTCTGAATAATTGAAAACCATTCCTTGTGGGATGATAATCTTTGGGACTCTTTTTAAAAATTCTTTTATTACTTTTTGATGGATGTATTTGCTCATCAAACAAGTTTTTGGTACAGTTGTCGAGAATTGTTCTTTCAATATTGAAAAAGCTTATGTTTAGTTGATTTGAGCAATTTTTTGTTGTGTTTTGTTTAATTTATTTTATAAACCCTAGTTGTGCTCACTCGCTCCAAGTGTTCTACTGCTTGTTTGACCCAAAAATCGAAAAAATAATGTGTAGACAGAGGAAAGAAGTGAGAGAACAAAGAATGGTAGAAAGAAGAAGACCAATTCAAAATTACATAACATTCACTGCTAGGGGCACTCCAAAAAGCATCACCACTCCCAACGTGGAAGCCAATAATTTTGAATTGAAGCCAACATTGATAACCATGGTAAAGAACTCCATCCAATTTGGAGGCATGCCCAATGAAGATCCTAATCTCTACCTAACAAAGTTTCTCCGATTGACCGACACCATTAAATACAACAGAATCTCCAGCAATGTCATCCAACTTTGTCTTTTCCCTTTTTCAGTATCAGAAAAGGTGAACACATAGTTTGCTTCACTCCCAACAAATTCCATTATAACCTGGGAGGACCTCACTTAACAATTCTTGGAAAAGTATTTTTCCCCTTCAAGGTCCTCGAACTCATGACAAAGATAAGTTGTTTCCAGCAAAACAAAGCAAAATCTCTGTTTGAGGCATGAAAGCAATTTGGAAAGTTTTTAAGGAGATGTCCACACCATGATTTTCTAATGTGGAGACATGTGCAGATCTTCTATAGTGGCCTATCTATTACCAATAGGGCTACTATTGATGCTGCAACAAGAGAATCTCTTATAAAAAAAATATTCAGATGAAGCATATAAGCTGATTGACGAGATGGCATTTGCCAGCTTCTAGTGGCACACAGCTGATTCTTACAACATCAAATGGCAGCAACCCACTGATGAATCAAATGGTAGCCCTTGTAAGGCAATTAGAAACTCTAATGAGCGTTTAAAACCAACCCACAAAGTCCCATGCAAGTCCATAATTTGATCAAGAAGAGGTAAACTTTATAAGTAATAATTACAACTTAGGGTGGCATAATAGCAACACAACCCCTTAGGGAAGCTACCAAGGGAACCAGAATGCACTTTATCGCCCTTCTCATGTGCAGAATCAAGGAGAAAAGGTAAAAAGAAAAGAAGCTCCCAGATTTTAATCTAATTTTTAAGAACAAATGATGCAATATATACATAGCTCTGACAAAAGAATAGCAAAACTCGAAGTCTAAATGGAACAATAGATTAAAAACCTCTTTATTACTTTCTAATGAGTACACTTGCCTACCGAATAAGTTTTTATACACTCTCCATTGCCAATTCTAACTTTTGAAACCATGGTTCGATCCAACTCTTTGAATAATTCTTCGTCATAGGTCATATAATGTGAGCATCCACTGTCAATTAACCAACTTTCATCATTGTTGCTGGTGGCAAAACAGGTTACTACAAATAATTGCTCCTCCTCTTCTAATTGCCAATAGGTGATAGTTCTCACTCTAAAAAACTGGTAGTGTTATGACTAAGTTATCATATTGCATTTTCAATTCCCAATGTAATTGTTTAGGTGTTTGATGGAACTAATAAAGCTTTGATTACCAAATGTTAGAACTAAAAAAAAATGAGAAGACTATAAACTTGAAAGTTGAAACTCACTTTTATTCATATTAATAAGCTTTAAAT